TTTTTTCCACTGATGTTTAATGATGTGTCCGGTAGCTCGACGCTGTGGCTAATGTCAGCTAGGCTAGCTCGCTAATGCAAAAGTTGGTGTGTGAGCTACATCGTTAGCTTCTGCTCAACAGCAGACCTGTGTTGTTGTTGTTGTTGTTTTGCACAGCTTGGCGACCTTTTATCGTCGCTTTAGAAATACTCCCACTGGTGTAACTTTGGTGTTAAGTTTTTGTGTGATTTTGGTTTCAACTGTTGCTCTTGTTGTTGAGCTGTCGAGATAACAGCAGTGAAATTGTGCTGATTGAAGTTTCTCTGTAGCTACTCTGCCAAGGCCATTGTAGAAAATAAACAATAAATACCAGCAGGTGAAGTATTTATAAGGACCATTACTCATTTTAACCTCTAATTCGTGTCTGCATTTCTTGTATTTGTCCCCAGTTTTTAGTTTCTGTTTCTCTCTGAGACACTGTTTTGTTGACTCCTTCAGCCTATTGTCTTGCTGATCCTAAGAGGCTGGTTGTTGGTTTGGTCTAAGTATGTGCAGATGCAGATTGTATCCTCCACTTGTTGTAAAGGTCACCAGTTTAAATACCAGAATACTTTCTGTGTAAAGTCGACAGATGTCTTGGTAACACGTGAAACTGACTTTATCACATCTTTTACACACCACTACACAGTTCAGACCCGTCACCTGAAGAGTACAACAGCCTGGCAAGAAGCAAGAGTGTCTTATAATCATCTGTATTTTTATTAAACTGGTTTGTGTTTTCTTTAAAGTTAGGAAAGGTGTTTGTTTTAATCCTCTAACTGCATCTCCAGGTGAGCTGTGTGTTGAATAGAGCTCATAAGGATGCGAGTTAATGAAATTACAAGAGAGTACAGCTGAAAATCGACAGAATTGGTGAATTTGAAGTGTAGCAATTAGTAGTGTTGACTTTAATCCTGTTTGTCTGATCAGACTTGTATTTAGTTTGTGCTAGGGTTGGGCAAACTGTTCCAACCGGTCGCCATCAGCTCAACAACCGGCGACTGCTGATGTATTGATGCAGGGATGTAAGCGCCGCGGATGGTTTCAGATGGGAGATGTGTGTGAGAGAATACATAAACAAAATTAAACTCTCAAAACGCCAAGAAAGGAAATATTTCTTAAGCAAATAGAAATATAAAACTGTACACCGTCTGAATTCATCTTTTTCTTTCACTGAACAAACACTAGTTTAATTAACTCATCATAAAATGCACAGAAGAAGCAAAATAAAACTCACCGTAACTCTCTTGGTCGGGCTTTCCGCAGTCAATCACCAGCTTCGGTTTGGTTGAAATAAAATGTGGAAATATTCTGCCTCTACGCTGAGTCACTGAGTCTTACTCGTTCTTTAGGTGCAGACCATTAAAATAGCGAAATAAATGACTAAACTCGCCAAAAATCACCCCAAAAAACCAAACCAACCACCGATGGCCTCAGCCAGTAGATTCATCCAATAGTTTGTGCAACAGGTTATCGGTGCTTCAGCAGTCGGCGTCGTCAAATAATCACAAAAAAACAAACCCAAATACATAAATGAATGTTTGTCTTTCTGCTGGACTTAAATGAATATTGATATTCAGTCTGACGGCAGAGACATGGTCCATCATAATCTGATCTCAGGCCTCATTTTACCTGATTAAGAAATCCTGCTCTAATTAGACTTCTTCTGATTACTGATCGGTCACACGGTTTACATTTTCTGTCATCAGATTAAACTTTCACCCTTTGTACGTTGGAGCGGACGCCGTAATTGCAAAGTTATGACAAAGGTGATGTCGATACTGATAAACAACTGCACTGTCGCACTGAGAGCAAGACGTGTAATCTAAAGCAGGAGGAAGAAATGTAAATGAAAATGTAAAACAAATGCAAATGTATTGGCGTTTCTGCTTAGTAAGACAACTTGAATCTGATCTAGTGCCATTTGAATAGTCCTGATTTAATAACCTCTTGTCTCAGTACAACGTGTTATTCAAAGAGTTTGATGTTTTTATCTTTCAGACGGGAAGCCTTTTACTTTCCCTCCGTGTTTGAGAAGCAACACGAGGAGAAGGAAGATGACCACCGCTCCTTTACTGTCAGAGGCCGAGCTAAATCGGTCTGCGTGTATCTGAGCGCCGGTCTGTTTTAGAGCGTCTGCTGGGATTCCTCCAGCAAGCTAGAGGGGGCAGCCCTCCTTTTCCTTGGCGGGTATTTTTAGAGTCGGACTGACCTGGGGGACCCTCACGCCCGCCGCGTACACGCTGCGAGATGAGAGAGACGATGCGAGCGCCGCTTGAGCAAAGGTGGCGTCTCAGAGTTGGGCAGTGGATGGTGTGTGGGCGTTTATCTGACGCGCACAACCGCTTTCCAATGTTTCGTCTGATTCAGTCTCGGTTTTAGCTCGCAGTGTATGAAACACAGAGAGTCTGTGTGACAGGACTTTTACTAATTTACTGTCCATCAACATCGTCACCAGTTATATGTGTCAGGTTGTATCAGGGGGAGAAGCCAGACAGGAAAAGCTCCAGAGTTTGAAGCAGAGATTGTGTACAGAAATATGAGATGGCTCAGACACTGTGTCATTGACGAGGTTTTTCAGGTTTGTAGGAATGCCTTTGTGACGCACCTGTGTTGGAAACAACGCCCCAGTCATCACCATTACTCCACATGTTGGCTTCAGCGAGGTGGAGCCACTCCAATCTGGTCACGCATTGCTTCTTATCTCTCTGAGCACTGGGTGTGATGGGAGGCTCAATGTAGGCTTTGTGAACTCCAGAGCTTCGACCAGCTGCAAGAAAAGTGCAAAGAATATTGGCTTGTGTTTATTTTTGGGCGTTTTATATGATTTTATTCCTATGAAAGGAGTCAGGAACATTAAGGGAAATCACCATTTTATTGAAGAAAACGATGTGTTGTGTGTTGAGACTGTTTGTCCTGTAGGTCAGGGCACAATATGGGCACACATGCACAACACTGGCATGTGTCCACCTGCTGGCCAGAGCTGAGAAAACATCAAACCGGAGCTCTTTTCCAGCTCAGAGGGTTGAATGCATTCCCATAAAGGTATGTCGCTCACAGGAAGTAAAGGAGAAGCAGTTTATCATTGAATGAACATCGTGCTGTGTGGAAGAAGACAAGCGATTGAGACCCTTAAATTCTTAATCAACATGTTTACTGAGCTAACAAATCTCATAAGCTCGCCTACAGTCTGATTTCGTTTTTGCAACCAGTGGCGTCGGGCTCCTGCTGGCTTCACTTGTCAGACGGTTTGTAAATCCCTCCGGTTACATTAGATAAGAATTATAAAACCAGAGTTTGTATCGGACATCAAAGATAAGGCAGCAGGTAGAATCAGACTTCACTCGGAGCGACGGTGCCAGCCAACCATTCGTCATGGGACGCGTTTTTTGTTTTCAGGCTCCCAAGCTAATTGCGCTGATCGAGTTTTGAGTAGCTCCGACTCGGCTTCCACGATTTTTGACATGACTTTGCTGGATGGATGCTGACCGTGGTTAAGGACGTAATTAGAAGCCAGCTCCGTCACAAGATGGTGAACTATTGATCTCCTGATAAACGACCTGGGCAGGGCCTTAATTCCCAATATGAACATGGGACATCTATATGAAATTAGCTGTCTGGAAAATAATCCTAATTGATTCAGGTTGTTTGGCCCGTGTCCTTTTTGGAGACATGCAAGGAGAAACGTCCGAGATCTTGATCTGCATTCACTTCTCATGGTAAGTTTTACAGGTTGGACCATCGGGGCTGTGTCGTTATAAAATGTTTTAAAATGCAGTTTTAATATTGCAAAAGACGACACAGAAGGTGCTCTCAAGCTGCTTTTAATTCATTTGGAAGAAGCTCCAACCAAGCAAAGTGTAGACATCCGCATGCTTTTATATATAGAAAGTATATTGGAAGTCACAATTGATATTTAGCAGTAAACTGGTGACAATCAGCGCTGTGCTGCCTGTTTTCTTTAAAGAATATAGCTTCCTGCAGTCCAGCTTCAAGCCAAGCAAGTCACAATTCGATTGGTTGTCTTAATCACGTCTGCCTAATTGAGTTGCAGCCTGACAGTATGTTTCAGCTGATCTTTTTAAAGTTCTTTTTCAACTTTGGCAACAGAACACTGCGGCCCTGTCTGTCTCATGGATGAGGAGCGACCTGAAAGATTGAGTTTCTTCCATTTCTCCACCGGCCGTCCGTCCGTGGCTCCGTACAGCGGACTGTGCACTGACGGGTTTCCCTCTGTGTAGTGTGGTTCAAACAGAGAGGATATATTCTGTTTCCGTGTACAAACGCTATGAAATGGCAATAACGAGCCAAATCACACTGGAAGATTGTGTCTCCGTTGTGTTTTCATGCAGCAGCAGATAATTTAAATGTTTGTTATTCAGCTCTGTAGTGGTGCAACTACGGCTTTTGTGTATTTCTTTCATTTCCAGTTACATAATAAAGCACTTGTGTTTGTGTCCACCAGGTCCTTTCACAGATGTGATCACCACCAACCTCAAACTGAAGAACCCTTCTGACAGAAGAGTGTGTTTCAAAGTGAAGACGACCGCACCGCGCAGGTACTGTGTACGGCCGAACAGCGGCGTCATCGACCCCGGAGCAACCGTCATTATCTCTGGTGGGTTTTTAAGTGAAACACTTTTATTCATTAACTGCCTTTCTTCCATTAAGTTCAGCGAACTGACGTCGCTTTAGTCCACAAAATGTTGTTGCTAATTGAGAGAGACGGAGGGAAACCTGAGAGGGGAAACTGGGTGAGGGAGCGCAGGTCGGTCGCAGGTCAATAAGGCCACATGCAAGGTTGCTGCAGAGGTGTTCAAGCCCCAAGCTGTGATTTGTGGAAGCAGTTTTCACCTACATGATCCACTTTTCTGGTTTAACACAGTGTGTATTCACATGGTTGCTTAAATAGTGCAAGTGGGTTCTGGCATCCAGTATTTCAGCATTAACAAATATTAATTTCTGTAATCCACAGCTGAGGAAACGTATGCTGCGTAACACATCTTGCAAAGAGACTATGCTCATTTCCAAAAACGAAGACACTGCAGATGAAGATGTGTTAAATATGTAAATGTCTATCTGCAAACAAAACAAATGAGACGAGTGTCACTAGATGCCTTCGAATACACAGCAGTAATGTGGCAGTAAGGTGAGCAAGGTGGAGCCCAGGTTATTGTGATTGTATTTATAATCCTAACAACCACAACTGCAGTAAATTGTGCAGAATACTCCAAATGTAGGTTGATTCATTGAAGGACGTCGTAGTTGTGCAAATACCTAACCCTAAATTCAAACCTCAGCGTGTTGGTTCAGCTGATTGGCAGCTGATAAGGGCCGACTAGAGTACACAGTACAGCATACACTCCCACAACTACAGCCAACAAACAATGAATGAAATATTAGTGGAAGAGAAAGCAACCAGTATGAACGTGTTAATCAAAGCTGCTGCAAATTAGGTTTTCATTCTGCTTCTTAGGGTCAAATTAGCCTCAGTGGCCGCCGTAATCTGGTTGGTTGGTTCATCGTTCTTGCCCAGATTCTCTGTAGCAATGTTTCAGTTTACTAAATTAAAGTTGTTTATTTAAAATGGGAACTGTTAAATGTCAAGTTTCCTCCACTGACCGCAGACCAGCTTGAATTCAGTTGCGATGTTAGTTGCCGTCTTCTTCAGTGATAACATTCACAGTGACAAAATGTCCAAAGAAATCCCTCAAACCACTCCAGCACGGTCCACCTTTCCTCACAAAGCTTACTCACATTGTATCCTGAATGCACTGCTTCCATTTGTCACTTGACAGTAGTGTAGTGATTAAGCAACTTATTAGAAAAACGTATTATTATTCTTTAACGTTAATTCAAACTGACTACGACTGCTGTTTGTGAAGGAGCCGTCATAGCATGAAGGCTACACAGAAAAGATTAGTTTGATACAATTTAGTACAACTTCAAGTGAACAGTTACATTTATATTTTCTGATTTTATATTAGGAAAATAAACATGGTCGTAAAATTAGATAGACGACGATAGAATTAACAAATGAAAGAAAACAGCATGACGATCAGATGTCAGCCACATTACGTAAAGAAGATATTACATTTAGAGAGTAAAGTGTGTTGTCAGTGGAAATATGTCTGGGGTTTATTATGCTGAATATTAAGTTAACGGTTATTTTTATTGTTTTTCGTCTTTCATCCACAGTCATGCTACAGCCCTTTGACTATGACCCCAATGAGAAAAGTAAACACAAATTCATGGTGCAGACGATTTTTGCCCCACCAAATGTTTCTGACATGGATTCATTGGTAAGTAATTTTTCTATTTAAGTACTTTTAACAAAGATGTTTAAAATGTATGCTTCTGCTTTTTCATTTCAGGACAGTAAGTTGTTGAGCCCTTTTAATCAACATCAGAAATGAGGACGCTTTTCAAGTTGGAGCTCTGCAAATGTTTACACAAACTCGCACTCTTTGTTGTGTCAGAAACCAGTTTCCTTCCTTTCATCTGGCTGGTTTTCCACAGTATTTGCCGTATCACTTAACTGGCCACCTCAAAAATAAACAACCCAAACCAGTCGCAATTTCAAAGGTTGTCCAAAAATAAAAGGATAATTGATTTTGAATGAAGAAGAGTTTTGTCGGATTGTTTAAAAGCAGATAATTCGACTGATTTCCACCCTGAAGTCGTTATGTTATGTAAGATGTTTGTGTCCTGCCGCAAGAAGTCAGTTTACAGTAAACTAGGTCCTCTTAAAGCTAGCACTGCTCAGACTAATAATAATAAAAGACAATCAATTATTAAACTACTTTTCTTTACACTGAAAATGCTATTTTTAAATCCAAATTTCCAAATGATTTGTGTGTGGGTTTCTTTCTTTAATTTAAGTATTTAGATAAATACAGATTACTGTAATTCTGTTTTTAATTAAAGATCCGTGTGCACATTATAACTCACCAGAATCAAATGAACTCTTTTATTTTTAAATATTCTGCAGCACTCACTGAAAACCTGCCATCACTTATTTGATCAGTAGTCCACCACTAATCAGTTTAGTGATCATACTGGTCATCCATTGTGGTGGGTTTATTGACATTTAGCTTTACTTGCTATGCCAAGCTCTCTGCTCTTAGACTATTAAACTATTATGTAAAAAGAAAAATCCACAACAAACTGAGATGCATTCTCCAGTTATCCACCAGAGGACAGCAAAGGCTTAAGGCAGTCAGTAAAACATCCACATAACCAGTAGTTGTGTTCATGAACTGGCTTGTCTTGAATGAAAGCAAAATCCAGGAAGTGCAGTGGAACAAAGGTCTGACTGCGTCTGATCAGTCAACTGGAATCTAATGAGGTTACAGGTTTATCAGATATATTGATTTCATGGCATTACTCAACCCCATTGCAATGCTGCGTTATACATTTCACTAATGACGCAAATAGTTGCTTTTACTCAACCGTAAAGGAGTTCTGTGCTTTACTTGAATATACAACAACAAATACATGCACCTTTTGTCGTCGAGTGTATAAAATCACGACGTGTCTCCGAGGTAAGGAGCAGACTTTATGGATGTTTGTCATTCTAAAAATACAGACCCCAAAAACCCAGTGGAAGAATGTACACTTGTGACCGTTTGTGGTTTTATTTAGTAGGAAAATGAGACGAGTTATAACTAAACTGTGCACGTTTTATGTTTATCTATAGATTCAAGGCTGCAGTGCGTGTGAACAGTATGAAGTGTGTGTGGACAGAATCCAGCTGCTAGCAGTTTGAGTTGATGAATAACATGCCCATTTTTCATCTCTACCAGTGGAAAGATGCAAAACCCGATGATCTCATGGATTCCAAGCTGAGATGTGTCTTCGAGCTGCCTTCTGAAAACGATAAAGTGGTAAGAGGCACTGCTGTACATTAAAAACAGCTTATTTCCACATAATTTCAGTCATAACCTGAAGTACTGTTTTTTGTTGCTAAAGGACTCTCAACTTTGAAAATGACCAGGATACCATAGCTTTCCATAAAAGCAAAAAACTTTGGACAAAATCCATTGCTTTAATATCAAATGAGTAGAGAGTACTGTTCGAGTGGAAATACTGGCCGTGGCACACTGTACCAGGTGCAAAAATATCAAAAAACCATAGCTTCCTAAGCTTTTCTTCTCTTTTCTAATGTGCGTTTCTCTTCCTCTCTACACTCAATCATTCCTTCCTTCCCAAGGTCACCTAAAATACTTTTCAAATGTCGAAAAATGTCATTTTACCGGGCAGATCTGGAGGATTGCTATCATGAAACCCCTTGCTGTTAGGTGAACTAATCATCAGGTGTGTCAGAGGTTGCACTACCTTTTTTTTTTTTTACTTGACAAACGTCCATTTTTCAATAAAATAACACAGCGGTGTATATTTTCACCTTTAGTCATTTCCCTGTATACGGTTGGACCAATCCAATTGCGGTTGTGGAAGTAATTTTTCTCTGGTTATTTTTAAATTAATTATTAGTTATGAGAAATCTACTGCTGAGAGTCGGTCTATTCAGATCACCTAATCAATGAAACCTAAAAGACGTGTCAAATGCAGAAGGGCAGAATAGGGAATCATAATTTCAACTATATAATAATAATTCAATACACTTTATCACCAATGTATTTAAATATTTTGACACAATGGAACCTAAGTACACTTAGAAATATTTAGGATTAAGATTACAAAGTAAGGCTACTTGCAGGCACCATGTCGGCGACCCCTGGTGTAGACACTGGCCAGGTCAACAGTTGGAAAATGCTGAAGAAATATCAAACAAAGCTGGACGGACCGGTATACTCCAAAGTTTGACACTGACCTGCTCAATGACCAATAAGAACAAATCCAGCGCCACACAGAGAAAGATTACCCCAACGTGTTTTATGGTTACGCCACACATAGCTGCTTAAATGAAATCCTTTTTAAATTTACAAACAACGTTGACATTGTTCGGCATAATCAAAATTCACATCGAATAGTATGCAGATGTTCTGTTGTGGGGATGCATGAGTACTTTGCATGCGTCTGATTGCTGAGGAGCACATGAACCGCAGCCGGCGGGTCCCTTGTTGCACTGCATTTTGCATTTTAGCGGCTAACGTCACCTTTGCCGCCTACGACAAGCCCAAGTGCAGCTGCTGTGAAACCATTTCAAGGTGAGAGAAGAGCTTCAACAGATGAATAGTTTCAATGATGTGGGTGTTTACTTAGTTTGCTCCAACCACTAGTTCACAGTCAAGTATCAAACATCGCAGTGTGCACACAATAGCTTGAGACCTAACATGGCTCTCAACATGGCTCCTGTAGTGGTGGTGTATAGACTGAATTACATTCAACGTGTTTTCTAATGTTTTTTTCAATCCCTGTAGTCATACATGAGACACGCCAACTTCACTAACTCGTGCTGTACAAAGACGTCTGTATTACACAGTTAGTGTAGTGGATTGCTTTAGTGTGTACTCAGTAAACAGGTGACTGTGAACACTGGTAGGCTGTATTAATGAGCCCTCAGTGTAATCAGGATTTAGATAAGCAGTGGTGCTCAGCAGGCCCTCACACTTCAGGTGAAAATGCCTCCAAGGCCAGATTTAGCTTACACTAAGAAGCTACAGTGAGGATATGTGCACTGCTGAGTCAGCACGGTATCTGCTCTCTGCTCTGGCACGTGTAGCATGCATGTAATGTGCAACATGTAGACTATGTAACTTTGTAGGACGGGGATGTATTGTAAAGTGTAATGTTAGAATGTGGAAATGTATGTTTAGGATCAGCCTTTTTGTAGTGTGCAAGAAGAGCCATGCAGAAGTATTTTTGTGCGTTGGGTCTAAAACTCTGATTGTAAAGAGACAAAAAAATACTGTTAAGCACCTGATGAAGGTCTGAGGACCAAAACATTGTCAATAAAGTGAGAACGAGTGCTTGACAGTGTGCATATTTGACAGTTTTAGACTTTTATTTAGGCCATTATGTAAGAAAGAAAAGCTTTGTGTTTAAATGTGTCTAATGTTGATGTTTGCTGTAGCACTTATTTAGTATCATTTGGTTCAAAACTTAACTGGCCTTCGATTTTGGTTCCTTTTATAAATGCTTGCTTTGCATTCTGGCACAAGGGATAATAACATCACATCCTGTCTGTGTATTGATTGTCAACCTTCAACTACAATACACTAGTTGTGTTTCCGTTACAAAGCCCTTCATTTCCCCATGCCGTCATGTTGTCTGTCCCACAAAACAAAGCCACATCAAACAAGACTTCTGGACGAGCGCATTTCCTCCCTGGTCTCTTTGATCTGGCACTGTGAGCTTCTGGGCCTCGGACAAGGCTGCCTTTCTTTGGCACAGGCTGTCGTCTAGAGGCTAACCTCCCTACTTAGCTCAGGGCACGTTGGATTTCACTTCAGCGGTTCTCTCCCTCTCGCAGAATGACGTGGATGCGACCAAAGCAGCCCCGGTGATGAACTCTGTGAAGGGCGAGTCATCGGCAGCCTCGATGCCTGTCTCTGCCTCACTGGACGATACAGAGCTGAAGAAAGTGCTGGAGAAGTGCAAGAGGCAGCAAGCTGAGATGAACAAGCTGGCTGAGGAGAACCGGCAATTAAAGGTTAGATGTGTCGATAAATAATATCCGTAACATGATGAAACCCTCGCAGTGCTCGGACAGCTGATGTCATGCTGCTCGTTAGGGGTTTAGCCCGTAGTGTTGCGTCTATAAAAGGTTGAGCTTGGTGACCTTTCAACATGTTGGCCAGGTTTTTCCTTTAGCATTTATACCTTCATGAGATCTGATCACAATGCAAGGTAGACCACCTCCACTTGGTGGGTTTTGTGATCTGGCGTTAAGATGCATATATACAGATATAGATACTGTACTATTACTGTGTGTAACTTGTCTCTATGTGCCCTCACTGACTTTAAATAGAAGATATAGAAGATAAAAATCTGTTTTGTAGTGTTTCTTAAACATTGAGTCCTGACTTAAAGTGGGTTAAGGACCCTTTAGGGTGCATCACAACATGATTTCCTGATATCACCCTGTGTCTATCAAGATCCCTCTACAACCTCTTCTAATCTCTAGCTCTTCCAAGGCGTCGCCAATCGATGAATATTGGGAATGAGAACGGGTTGCCGACCACCTCAGATTCAGACAGCCCTCAAACGTCATCTTCACGGTCAATAAATCCTAGTGTGAATGTTTCCCGTGTAGTTGGTTAGTTAGCTTACTCAGCCACTAAAAGTCAGTGTTAGCCTTTCATTAACCCTCCGATCTCTGAGAGCGGTACGGGTAGATACGTTGATCTAGCTTGACTGAACCGTGCTTATACAATGTGTGGCCTCTCTCTTCTGCGTGAAGAGGCAGCTGAGAGAGTGGACTCACATGACAGTTGCCAAAAGAATACAACAAATGTCAAAAGACAGTTGTAGGAAAAATGTTGAAATGCAAAAAATGTGCTCCGAGGAATTTCATCCTCCGTTTCATCCAATTGCTGTTTGTCGTCTGTGCCAGATGCATATGAGATGACATCTCTCATGGAATTTTATTTTCTTTGATCAGCTGCAAGCAACAACAAAGGAAGAGTGTTAGACACTGATTTGAAAAATTTAAAACTTTATTGGATCAATTGTGTTGGATTCTGTACAGATGGGGCAAATCTAATGTACCTTAAGTGTTGCACAGTGTGAATATTACCCACTATACTTATACACAGAGAGGCTTTGGCTTCAGAGAAACTTGGTTGAGGTAATTTACTTAATTGTTAAGTGGTGGATCTGATCAAGAAGAGACCTGTATTGTTCTGATCTGTTTAGTTTTCTGTGAAATTACATAATTCTCACTCCCCCCTCTTCTTCTGTCACAGGAGGAAGGTCTTAGAATGAGAAAGGTACCCCGCTCAGACCACATGACATCAAACTCAACTAGCCTCCTCGGCCGAGAAGCCAGCACCGCCTCCCTGCCCTCCCTCCTCGTCGTCATAGCAGCCATCTTCATCGGATTCTTCCTAGGGAAGTTCATCTTGTAGACTGGGAGATGCATGCCAGCCGTATCCCCCCCGCCCCGGCTCCGGAATGAAAACAGGCCTGGAAAAACCGAGAAGTCTTTCTGTTGACTTTGCCATATCATTGGTAGTGTGGCCTATACAGTGAACACATCTGTACAGCATCATTCGAAGGCATCGCCTTTTTACAATCTCACACGGTTAGTACACAAAGAAAGTTGAGAAAAGAAAAGGCGACAAAAAAAGTGATTGCTCCCTTTTGTGTTTTTTTTTTTT